CACACACACACACACACACACACACACACACACACACACACACACACCACACACACACACACACACACAAACACACACCTTCTGCTGCACCTACACGAGGAAATCTACCCTGAGGATTTTCAAGGCTGGCTGTTAACCTCTTTCCAAAGCCCACTAAAGGCAACTAAAGGCATGAAAAATTCCCCAGCCCCTCAATCTGCCCCCAGAAAGATGCAGATTTCTGTGCCACAGGACCCTTTCTCCGGGCTCTCTCATTCTCTAGGAAAAACGCTAAGCATCGCCATTCAAACTACGCCGTTCTCTTAGCAGCTGAGGTTGCTTTGTTCTGATGCAAAGTCAGGTCTTGAAGCCCCGGTTAATTTCTAGCTGAAGTATATACCTACCAACGATGCCTTATGCACGCACTCCTACGTTGCCTGCAGAACCCTACACAAACTGGAAATTCTGCTCCCTCAGGATAACTAAGTCTCCCCAAACTTTCTTTTCTTTTTTCTTTCTTTCTTCCTCTGCGTCCCGTCCCTTCAATCGTGGTAAAGGCTGACTCCGAAAAGGAGCTAGCTCGTACCACCTCGCATCACAAAATGCGTTAAACGCAGCGCGCTCAGGATGTGGAAGCCGGGTCAGCCAGGGGACCCCTTCGGACAGCCTAGGCTATGAGCACAGAAAGCCGTTTCCCCGCAACTGAACAAGTAGGAAAAAAAAGAAATCAAAGGAAGAATCCACACTACCACCTTGTGGATTCTGCTCGCAAGAACAGTACCTGCTGAGTTCGATACCCGCCACCGGACACACCTCACCCCAAATCTCCCAAGTTGGGTCCACATGACGGAGGGCGAGCCGCGGGCCCGGCTCACGGCAGGCGCGCGCGCGCGCCCTCGGCTTCACTCCTGACGCGCGCTCCCAGCGCGGGCGCGAGCCGCCTTCCTCGGCCCCCCGACGCGGCCTCCTGCACCCCGCCCCCTCCCGCCGGCTCGAGAGAGCGGCCTCGTGGCTCCAAAAATAGATGAAAAGAGGCTCACACCTGCTGGTCGGTTCAGAGAAGGGAGTCACACCAGAGGAAAACCCGCAGCCAAAAAAAAAAAAAAACAACACCCACAAAAAAACAAAACAGAAAAGGGAGAGGGGCGGGAGGGAGGCAGAAGAGGTCCTCCGGACGCCCCTCGCCCTCCGAGGGGGACTTCCGTTCCCAGGGCGGCCCCGGCCAGGCCCCGAGGGTGCGCGGGGGGACCCCTGGCTCCCGCCCCCGCCGCTTCGGGGAGAAAGGATGCTGTGTCTGGCGGCGGGCAGGCTCCGGAATGGTGGGCCGGGCCCAGGGATGCGCGGGGCCCCGGGCCCGGATCCGGGGGCGCACCACTCGGGGGGGCCGCCCGGGAGGGCCGGGAGGAGAAATCCAACCTACCGGTTCTCGGAGGGACGAAGAAGCCGGGGGAGGGGAGGGGAGGGGTGCGGTCGGGGACGGGCGGGGAAAGAGGGGGCGTCTGGGAGACTGAAGGGTGCCCGCGCGCCCTGAAGAGGCGGCGGGCTTCCCGGAGAGCCAGAGCGGGAGGGAGGGAACACTCGTGGGCTGGGGTCGGGGTGCAGCCGGGACCTCGGCCTCTCCTCCGGCCGCCGCCGGCCCGCGACCCCCGCACCGTCTGCGGCCGAGCGGTACGCCAGTTCGGCCCGCTGGAGCGGGACGGGGGGTCAGGCCGAGCCGCGCGGGAAAGGGCAGGGGGCGGCGGCGGGGCTCCGGATGAAATCGGCTGGGAAAGCGTGGGAGGCGGGCGGGATCTGAAGCGCGGGACGGCTGCGAGCTTTGGGAGACGGCGGGGGGTGGGGGGAATGGAGCGAGGGAGCGGGGAGGGTTGTCTGTTACGTGGCCCAAGGCTCTGCGGGTGGTCCGCACCTCCGAACCGAGTCCCCGGACCTCCTCCCCCCGCCTCCGGCGAGAGGACCGGCCCGCCGTGCTTCCCGCGGGCTCTCCTCCCGGATCGAGGGTTCTCCGTGGGCACCGACGGGGGTCCGCATCCCCGGAGACCCCGGCTAGCACGCCCAGCGCCGGTCCCCGCAGCTACCAACTTTTGTGGTCCTCGGGGAGAAGCGGGCAGCTCGGGGACGGCGCTCGGGCGGCAGCTGCGTGCCCCGCGCAGACGTGCAGGCCAGACCCAAAGGCTCCCGAAGCAGCAACGCCACCAACCGCCCTCACTCCTCCTCGCGCCCTCCATCTCCCGCCGCTTGCCTTCCCACAGCCCACACGCACGGGTGAAGGGCGGATGGCAGTGGGAGGGCAGGTGGCCCGCTCCCCAGCTTTGCAGAAACGGCGCTAAGCTATTTCGTCTTCACCCGGGGTCTCCAGCGCGCCCGGGTCGCTCCCCAGCAAAGCCCAACCAGCCCCTCATCAATCACGTGCGTTATTTCGTGCATCACACAAGCCGTCATCTTATCCAAGGCCAGCAGAGGAAGGAGGGGGGGAAAAAATCGCTTAATGCAAACCCAGCCAAGCCTGTTTTCCTTTTTTCTCTCTGGTTAACCCAAAAAAATGCACCCCGGGAGGTGGTAGCTGACAGTTTCCTTAAAGAAGAAGGAGGAGAGAAAAGCCCGTGATGGCTCACAGTTTCCAGAAGTGCTCCTGGCTTCCCCGCCAGTCCTGCTTTGCAGACATCTGGCACTTCGCTCGTTCTCTCCCTGTACTGCAGATGTATTTTTTTTCCTCCTGTGTCCGCCACACTCTTCTGTTTATTTGTATGTAACAGAGCGCTATTTTGTAAACACCTCACACACGGCCCCAGAGCCGTTCAGATAGCTGATTGCAGCAAAACGCTTCCCAACCACGGTGGTCCCAATTTTTTTAAGTCGTAAGAAAAAATGTACTGTTTCTGTAGAGATGTGCACGAAGCTTGCACAGGACACGCCGTACATATATGTCCACACTCCCACCCACACCTAAGAAACGGAGCGACCGATGGAAGAAACAGTGCTATGCAAATTTTCAAAATTAAAAAAAAAAAAATTTTTTTACATGTCGGATGAAGTGGAGCGCAAACGTTAGCAGTCGGGCTTATCATCTTTTGCTGGCAAGCACACGAGTCAAAACGTTAAATAGGCTTAAAAAAAAAAACCCCACAGACACATCTTAAAACGGCACCTACCTTAGCCGTGGAAAAGCTGCATCGGCTGTAAGTGTTCTTTTTATGCATCCAGATTTTTCCAGGGACCGAGGCTATGATTCAGGAGGATGTACTAAGTCCAAGCGCCTTGGCTTTCTCGAATCTCAACTGGATTTGCTCCCCCGAAGAAACGCGAGGACCACCGACACTGCCGTTTGCAGGAAATTCGTTGTTTCTATCCTAGTCTGATGGGGAAGAAGAAACAGGAACACAGCCGGAGAAGGAAGGGCAGCGTTACGTCTGAATAAGAGCTCTGTATGTAGAGACAGAGACCCGTCTGCAAGAAAAAGAGAGATTGAAGCGAGAGGTCCTGATGGTTCCCAGCTCCCCCCTCTGCTATTGGACCAAACTGAATGAAATTTACAAAGCCAGCAGCCAATAGATCCCCGCGGTCGGCCCCATCGCTACAGAAACCACATCCACGGCTACAAGCGCATGCAAAGAGCAGCTAATCCCAGTGCAAACCAGCTGGAACAGAGAGATTCTGGTGCCGCCGGGGTGGTGGAACAGGTGAGCGCGCGTCTCACTGGGCCACCGTGCCAGAGCGCACGGGAAAGCTTCCCTGCCCTCTCCAGATACCCTTCGGAGACACCACACACGGTGCCGTATTTGCAAATACCATTAACCCTTTAAGGCTATGCTATCCAAGGGTGAGTGCCAGCCGTGCAAGCTCTTCCCCGGGGGTCAGGCTGACAACTGTGTTACTGTTTCTGGATGGTATTCGGCTTGTACTGGGAAACAGTGATAGACAGATAGATAGATAGATAGATAGATAGATTAGCAAAATTAGAATGAAGACCTGTAAAGGACAGAACCTCTTTTATGCCCAGGTGATGGGTTAATACCTTTTGGGTTTTTTTTTTTTTTTTTTTTTTTTTGGTTGCGTTGGGTCTTCGTTGCCGTGCGTGGGCTTCTCAGTGTGGTGGTTTCTCTTGTTGCCAAGCACAGGCTCTAGGCACATGGGCTTCAGTAGTTGTGGCTCGTGGGCTCTAGAGCACAGGCTCAGTAGTTGTGGCACACGGGCTTAGTTGCTTTGCGGCATGTGGGATCTTCCCGGACCGGGGCTCGAACCCCTGTCCCCTGAACTGGCAGGCAGATTCTTAACCGCTGCACCACCGGGGTAGCCCCTGTTTGTTTCTTATACAGTAGTGGTTTTGATGAATAAAATACTGAAGAAGTTTCTAGCACCTGCGAGTTGTATTGAAATACCCCTCTTCACTTTTGGGATCCAGGATTTCATCTTTTCCAGCCAACTCAGAATTTGGTAATAGGACCTGGTATTTATCACTGGGTTCGAGGTAGCTGGCTGTCAGCTGCGTGATGTCCGAAGCTCCTCTCTCATAAATCAGGGAAGGCTATAGAGTGCTGTGGCAGTCTGAACACAGCTTCTCCAACTAGACTGCTTGGGTTCAAGTGGCATATGACCTTCGCTGTGTGTTTAAATACTTCGTCTGGGTTTCCGCCTCTGTAACGTGGAGAAGACAAGTAATCACCTTGTGATATCCTTGTGATGTGATATGTGATACAGGACTAGGCATGCGAGAAGCTCCAGATAAATGTCTGCTTTTCTTAACCTTATTTCACAGGCCTAGGGACTTACTTCCTGAAGGAAGAACATAATGTCTTCTATCCATAGGACTTCCTCACAATTGCTTCTGCATTTAGGCAGCGAACTCAGGCATCCAACCTGCTGTCATTATTTGATGTGATGCCACAACTAGGGATTCCTCAGGAGTTTTAAGAGAAGGGCTCTTGCGGAACATAGCCAATAGTGGGGAAGTTAATAAACACTGATTTAGGAGACCTAGCTTCACACCAAGTGTCTGAACCCTGCTAGCTTCAACCTGTTGGAAAGTCCGTTAGGTTCTGTGAACCTTAGGGAATAGGTCCTTTAAACAGTGATTGAAATACCTCTCTGTGGTTCCTTGGGACAAATAAATGAGATAATAGGCACGAAAACATGCATCACCAAAAAGATGTCTATATATATCATACATACAGGTACAGAGAGAATGCTATTTTCCTCACTGTTATATATACACAAAATAGATATATAATCTAATAATAGAAGAAACATACATATGTTTTATATAAATATATGTTTTTCTTCTATTATTTAATAATTATTGAAGATCCAATAACATAATAGTATCGCTAATAAGTATAGTTTTTCCCCCAAATTAGTAACACACATAACTGTAGACACAAAAATATATAGACAGATATATATATACATGTATAGACATCTATTCTTCCCAAAGTAGGGTTTAGAAGCAGAGACTTCAGTTAAACACAATAACTTAGAGCAGGCCAGAAAGTCACTGGCTTTACCGAGAAAGTGTGAATTCACTGATTTATTTATAAATTTATCAAGTATCTCTTGAGCACAGGCATAATCCGAAGCACTAAGAATGCATTTGTGAGTAACACACATCCACGTATTTTTGAAGAAGCATACAGTCTAGTGGATAAGGGAGCCAACAGCATAAGAAAAAAATCATCACCAGAAGGTGTGAAAATACCTATGATGTATGAATTCACAGGCATCCATGCAGATGGAAATGATGGAGAAAACAGTGTCCAGAGAAAGGGTGCTCTCAGCAGAGATGGAACCGTAGCAGAGAAGAACAAACCTGACTCCCTGTCCAATCTATTCCATTAGCTCTAACCTTTGTGCTCTGCTGTCTGTGTTTAGTCAGACTGGCTCTGCACCTTTTGTAGAAGAAAGCTGCGGAGAGCCTGAAATATACATGACAGCATTCTCAAGGCTCTGCCTCCCAGGCTTGACCATTAAAGGCATAATACAAAGTTGCAGAACAGAAAAAAACAATTGTGGGTTGTTCCCTGGCGGTCCACTGGTTAGGGCTCAGTGCTTTCACTACCGTGGCCTGGGTTCAATCCCTGGTTATGGAACTGAGATTCCCACAAGCGGTGGTGGAAGGAAGGGAGGGAGGGAGGGAGGGAGGAAGGGAGGGAGGGAGGGAGGGAGGGAGGGAGGGAGGAACAATTCTTGAAGTTTTCTTGGAACATTGTATTGTGACCACAACCCGCCAATACCTCCTCCTGTTTTAGTGATAAAGAAGCCTGGATTCTATTCTAACTCCGGTCAGATGGTGCTTTGGGACGCTTCTCAGTCTCCTGCCTTCCCGAATAAAGTCCTTATTCGTTGCCCCAACACTTCCTCTCTAGATTCACTGGCCTGTCGTGCGGTGAGCAGTGCAAGCTTGGAATGGGTGACAGAATGGTAAATAAACATGCGTCAGGTGCAGAAGTTGGGGGGGAAACGTGGATACAGCATGGATAAACTGTATGTGGGGATCTGGAATACACAGGGTTTGGTATGGGCAGGGTAGAGAGTGTGAAAAGAAGAGAGAGAAGACGAGAGGGTGAAGAATTCTTCTGAGACCTATTTATGGAGGGTCTTGAATACCATGCTGAATGGCTGGAATTTAGCCAGCAGGCAGTGGGGCACCAATAACATATGTTAAGCAGCGGGTAGGGGAGGAATCATTAGATTTATATTTTAGGGTAACTGCTCTGGTGGCAATGAGAAGAAGGGGCCACAGGAGCAGAAGACAGAAAGCAAAGGTACACTTTCTGAGGGTGCTGCAAGGACGGATCCTAGAGAAATGAAGTCCTGAGTAAGAGGGAGAGAGACAGACAGATAGAAAGAGAGAGAGGGAGGGAGGGAGGGAGGGAAGAAAGAGAAAGAAAGAAGGAGAAAGAAAGAAAAGAAAGGAAGAAAGAAAAAGAAAGAAAGAGGAAGGAAGGAAGGAAGAATGACCCGGTTGAGATTTTTTCAAAGTACTTAAAGAGCCAGAGTATTATTTTAAGAAAAAGTGAACGTATACTTTTGTGAGTTTATAATTTCCCCTAATCCCGACTTCCTCACGTAACGCCAGGAAAAGCAAGAACCCAACTTAACCACTGGGAGAACAGATTGTACGATAATACAACAACAACAACAACAAAGTTATACAGTTTTAAATCCGGGGTTCTTGGAAGAGAGAATTCTTCATGTTTCCATTTGAAATCTAATTATGGAGTATGGCGAGTTGGGGAGACATGTCATAAAAAGGTATTAACAATAGGGTCCAGAGAAGGACCCACTGCGATAGGGGCTGGATTTGATTCACAAGAACAGGAAGCAGCCTGAGAAATAATCTATAAAGTACCATAGCTCCCTCTGATGAGTGCAGCAACCTTGAACGATTCTAACCTACATTCTGATAGAACGTTCGTGTTCCCATGGGCCTGACGTGTTCAACCCTAAACGCGATACTGCCTAAGCCAGGTAGATGATCAGGCAATACTAACGCATATTGGCTCTGTTAGTACGATGGGAAAAATAAAATACAACTATGATTAGGTAGGATAATAAACATTAGTGCAATACTAATATATACTATTTGGTCTTACCACACACTGTTGGAGATACAAATATGAATGACCTGTAAGGTGCTTAAAATCTAAGGCGGTGATAAAGCAGGCTCTTCGATTACTAAAATCCAAGGTAGTATATGGTCTGTGCCATCTTAGAAGCATATGAGAGGCATAGCAGGCTTCCTGGAGGGACGAGGAGAAAATTCTTCAGAGATAAACAAGGTTTTCATGGGGAACTGGAGAGCAGAGGTGGGGAATCCCTCCAAATGAACCAAGTCTGGAAAAAAAAAAAAAAAAAAGACATGGAGCGGGTAGGGGCTCTGAAAGTTGAAGGTACCTAACTGTGAGCCAGGTGGCTTGTTTAGCTAGCCTCAGTCCATCTTACTTTATACTCCAAAGTTCCCGAGAAACCTTGTCCTTCCAATGATACAAAGTAGACTTCAGACCAGTTGACCTTGAATTATCGTGAATTCCAGGTTAATGTCAATCACTTAAATGAGGTTTTCACATACTAGTTTACTAGTATGTACCTTTTCATACATGTAAATATCATTATAGAAATTTAGTTAGAAGAGACACAGAGATGGACCCCATTGGTTTTGTGGGTGAAGTGTTTTCTAAGCTTTAACGAGAGATGTTCAAAGTTTATATTTTCCAACAAGAAGGTTGTACATTCCCCTAATTCAATTTTTGCATGTGAGAAATGAAAAAAAGAAATCCTCTTGGGCCGGAGTCTGCTCCCAGGCCCTACCATGCCCTTGTCCTTCTGACTGTTATTTTAAACCCCCCAAAACACCATTAATTATGTAAGACGCATATACTGTGTGGCAATATGCTCTGACTTTCCATCTGATTTTTAAAAATCCTTTGCTAGTTATTATTTCATCTCTGGACATGATTAGCTGAAATGACTTTTAAATGGCCCTGGTTTTTTAAAAAAGGGTTCAAGCTCCTGAATTTCAGTACATTCATTGCGGCTGAGAAACCCATTAGCTACTGCTTTTGTATGAAAACCAAGGACACTGAATCCCAGTAAGTGGCCCCAAATAGAGTTTGTTTATTTATTTATGGCTGTGTTGGGTCTTCGTTGCTGCACGTGGGCTTTCTCTAGTTGTGGCGAGCGGGGGCTATTCTTCCTTGTGGTGTGCAGGCTTCTCATTTCGGTGGCTTCTCTTGTTGCGGAGCACAGGCTCTAGGTGCCTGGGCTTCAGTAGTTGTGGCACGCGGGCTCAGTGGTTGTGGCTTGCGGGCTGTAGAGCACAGGCTCAGTAGTTGTGGCACACGGGCTTAGTTGCTCCACGGCATGTGGGATCTTCCCAGACCAGGGTTCAAACCCATGTCCCCGGCATTGGCAGGCGGATTCTTCACCACTGCGCCACCAGGGAAGTCCCCTAGAGTTCTTTCCCCCCCCGCCCCGGTACGCAGGCCTCTCACTGTTGTGGCCTCTCCCGTTGCGGAGCACAGGCTCCGGACGCGCAGGCTTAGCGGCCACGGCTCAGGGGCCCAGCCGCTCCGCGACATGTGGGATCTTCCCAGACCAGGGCACGAATCCGTGTCCCCTGCATCGGCAGGTGGACTCTCAACCACTGCGCCACCAGGGAAGCCCCTAGAGTTCATTTTTCAAATGAACTTGCAGCAACTTTCCCACTGTTATTGCCTAAGTCTTTATAAACTTCTTATTCCCGGGGTACTTATATATATAAGTATATACACTTATATATATACACACACACACACACACACACCCCAATACACACACACACATATATATTCAGGCATACATACATACATATACAAATGTATATATATAATACATAAGTATATATAATAGAGAGGGATTATATATTATATGTAAGGTTATATAATATATATATTTGTATATTATAGTTTATAATTTTTAATATATTTATATAATGTAAATGGTTCTATATAATACGTATAATATACAGGCACACCTCCGAGATGCTGTGGGTTTAGTTCCAGACCACCACAACACAGTGAATTTCTAAATAAAGTCAACAGGTTGTTTTGGTTTCCCAGTGCATATAAAAGTTACGTTTAGAGTTGACTGTAGTCTATTAA